CAGACTTTAAAACGCGTCTGATAGGAGAAGGTTTCCACACCTTTATAAATGGCGATTTGTTCTCCTCCTAAACTAACGTGGGACATCACAACAACATAATTTGAGTTAAATTATATTCGTAGAAATATTTATTTAATTTGTGAAAGTATAAAATTTCTTACTTCAAACAGAAAAAAGGTGAAAATATAAAAAAGGATTATTCTTCGTCCTACAGCTCAACTTTTATAATATAAATATATCTAGATCAATATTTATATAAATGTTCAATATTATTTTTAAAAAATACATATATATGGATTAATTAGGATATTTTTTATTTTTTAATAAAAATTATTCATTAAAAAATTCTTGAATAACTCAGCGGAGAATTTCCATCCCTAATTTTCGAAAATGAAATAGATTTCCCTAAAATATTTTAATTATGAAGATGAAATGATAGAGAATAAATTCGAATTTTTAGACACCACTGGCATTAGTCTACTTCATATCCCACTTTTTTTCTACTTTTAATAATTCAACGCCATTTTAGTTAAATATTCTTTAACGACTTTTAACTTTAATATATATTTATGTTCTATAACTTATGATTGGAAATTAAATAATTAAAACAAAATTTAGAGTTTTGTTTATGAAAATCGAAAAATGAGAATTTGAATTGGGACTCATCTCGAGTCGAGAATTTTTTTTTTTTGGACCTAAACAAGGAAATCTCATCCATCAAAATACCCCATCATTCACATTTTTATACTTTCTTATATCTGTGGTATAAATGGGGAGTTATATGAACTTCTCTAAACAAACAAGATCACATATTAAACCTAGATGATTCCCATTGATGTCGACAAGAGAAGGGTCAAACTAGGAGAAAATCCGCATTAGAACTAATTAGAAAGGCAACATTCTTAGCAGGCAAGAAAGATCGTACAAAGCGAGTGTGGGAATACAAGAAAATAGCTCTAGAAAAATCAAACACTACCTAGGAGAATGCAGAATGCATTATAGAGTCATTATAGAGTCACAAATAGGAAATTGGAGAATGCATATAGAGTCAAATAGGAAAGATCATTCGGTTAAGAGAGAAAAGAGGAATTATAAGTTCTTCTATATATGTGGATGTATGGTAATTTACAGTTAAATTGTGAACTTACAGGCATAAACATCGTAGTAACTAGGAAGTATGAACTTTAGATCAGAGCTTCCACAGTTCATAGCCATGGAGACATCTGCTGTACAGTGAGGGAGTTGGGTCATTGGAGAATGGAATAGAAGTCGTGAAGAGCAGAGTACAAAGGCTCTGCAGCCCTGGGTCTGTCCACCGTCCCCAGCAGAATGTCGGAGGTGGTTAGATAAGGATCACCATAGAAGCGTAGATTTGTACTCATCCTTGTTGCAACCACGTTTCCTTCTAATGATACTCCAACAAATGCGCCTGTCAAGAAGTATTAAACTAATGCATCAGTTAGGACTAATTTGCAGCCAACACTTTAATAATCAGTTTAGTTGCAGCAAACATCATAAATACCAACAATTTAAAACAACAGAACGAGCAGTTAGGAGTAATTCCTGCACGATCCACGAAGACAGTTTGAAAATAGTAAAAAGCTAAAAGTTCATGGATTACTGATTGATTATTCAATGATCAGATACGCTAGCTTCAGGAAGAAAATGGCATGAAATCCAAGTAATACAGAAAATGCATAATCTGATCAGGATACCTTTGCTACAACTATATGTATAGCACATGCCAGAACCCCTATCTCCAGCTCGGAGATCTGCTTCCAGCACCCTACCAACAGGACCAGCAGCGACACTACACCCAGCACCAAGTGAAAAGTGCATACGGCTACAGAATGTCTTTACAGCTTTTGAATCATGAAGGACGATAATGAAATCCATGAGCTCACCTCCAATCTAAAAGTAACAATGGTACAGGAAATTTAGAACTTATCCACATGAAAGACTCTTGTTCCACATCCCATTCAAGGGACCAGAAACCAAAATGTATGCTGTCAAATTATCCAATAACCAAACTTATCCATCTCTTAAGATTTAAAATTCTTCCAGAAATTCTACACATACAAAGAAAATTGAAGTAAAAGTTTTTTTACCTGGGCACCCCATCCTAATCCAACGGATAGTATGGCTGAAGGGGCAGACCACGAACCATCAGACCTTCGGGCAATAACCAATCCAGTGCCAAATTTGTAAGCAACAAACACTCCACCTTTAGCGACTGTCAAAATAGCAAGACCTTTGGCCCCCTTCAGTACAGCCCAGGGTATAGATTTTTCAGGATTTAGTCTTGAGACCTGTACAATTCAACAATCTAAGAATGTCACAAAAGAATAGCCCCACCATAGCTTAATCAATCACAATATACTTTATAAATCTCACTGATTAAAACGACAATTGAATTGCAGTTTAAGTTATCATGACTTCCTTGAACAACTAAGATGTATAGTAAGCGCACCTGGAAGTATCCTCTTAGTGTTTTGGATGCTTTGTATATCTCATATTCCATGGACATACCAATAGGGAGATTTAACCACCCTCTTGTGCTCGTCCAGTCCATCACATCATGTTTCGCCCTTTGCACAGCATTGCTAGAGCTGTTAATAAGTATACCCTGTAAAGGATCAAGCCTGTCATAGCAGGCATCGCATACCCTCTGTGGATTTCTCTCTCTGAACTTAATGGGCATTAAACACCTTCCCTTTGAACAGGCTCGGCAGAAAATCCCTCCACAAAATCGACAATGATGCCTACCACGAGTGATTGCAGTAAAAGGGGCAGTACACTGCATGCAAATTGAAGAAGAGCTATCTGGAAGCCACTCTGGGGGCTCAGCCTCCAAAACATCTTTATAAGCATTATAATTAATCATACTCGGCTCAAGTAGAGGTGGGGCACTGGGAATGTAGACCGAGGAGTGCAAATAGGAATCTCCATTTTTTTCAGACCCAAGGAATGAAAAATTTGAACTGGGAACTTGTTTATCAGAGGAGACATCCGAAGATTTATTCGCGCCAGTCAATATAGCAAACATCCCATTCAAAACATTTTTTAAATTAACCTCTGGACGCACACTATTTTGCTCTGGGTTATCAAATTCTTCACTTGAATCATTCACGTCATCAATGAAGTCTTCAGATTCAACAGGAAATTTCGAGTTCGTATGGAAAGGCGCACTACCATTAGGTTTGGCCCAGAGAGAATCGCAGTCATCATCGCCATTCGGGAATGTATTACCCATTGCAACATTAGAAAGGGAAGAATATGTAACTTTCCCGTTTAAGGTAGCCATGAACAACAACAATTGCGTTCAATAACTGAAACAAAGAACACCAACTGTAAGAACACAAATAAATAAACTAAAAAAAAAAATTAAAAAAAAAAAACAAATTCTTCTTCAAAATTAGTCGCGTAAGAAATTCAGACAAATAATTATTTTCCACCCCAATATGCGAATGTTGGAGGGAAAATCATCAACGACTAACAAGTACACCAAAAGCAAAAAAACAAGAAGACGCTGAATTAGAATTTCAAAAACCCGATACTTCCAAGGCCTAAGTAAAATAATTCACAATCTAGGGTTTTCTTCGTTCGAGTATGCTAGAAGAAGGAAACGCCCTATAAAACTAAAAATTTCGAAGGAAATCGAAACGAAAGAAGACCGAATTCCCTACCTTTCTCCCATGAAGATTTCAGTAGAACGAAATTGATCTTTAGACTAGGGCTCGAACTGGGAAACGAACGAGAATGACGATGGCGGATGAAACGGGAGAGAATTCGCGACCTCTTTCGAGGATTCAAGCAATCTTTTCATTCGAATTTCGCTTTTTATATGTATCGTCTACCACAAATACTTCAGGGTGGGGAAATGTTTGTACATATGCCGGCTGAACACGTGTTCTATTTATTTTATTTTTCTTAAAAAGTTTAAATCACAAAATAGGTTTTTAGAAAGGGAAAAAAAAAAAAAATATATATATATATATATATATAGTTTTATAGCTTGAAAAGTTATAATTTTATTTATATGATTGGACAAATCTTTATAAATGAATAAAGCTTATTCAATAATTTACTAGAGTTTTAATGAGTCAAAAAAAATATAATATTTAAATTATTATTGAATTTTTAGAGCCAAATTTACCTAATATACTTTTTAATATTCCATTTTAGTTTTTACATTTAGGAATGAGTAAATTTAGATGAATAAAATCAAATTACAAAAAAAAAAAAAAAAAAAAAAAAAAAAAAAAAAAAAAAAAAAAAAAAAAAAAAAAAAAAAAAAGAGAGATCATATACCAAAAAAAATAGACCACCTAACAAAGGAGAAGAGAAGAGATGTCCAAATTATAACGATTCTCTAACGTCTTTTGAATCACGACAGATTGAAGCAGTATTGTTCTTATTATTTCAATTTTTTTATAATCTTAACCTTCCATTAACTCAATTTAATGGTCGGATTTTTGCAACTTACCTCTTTATTTAATACTCATCTTCTTTTCTATATTGTCAACAATTTTACAATTTTAAATCTGCAAATTGATCCCAACTCGCGGAAAGAATAGAGATTGTTTTTGAACATGTAAAATCACTTTTTGTGATATTCAAAACCTCTCCCCGAAACATACTTTTTAATAACTAAAAGATCATATTTAAAAGTATAACTTAAATATTAAATTGATTTTGAATGACTAAGGTCATGTTTAGAAGTAATTTTAAATATGACAAAAGTAATTTAAACTATTTCAAATTCATTCTCAAAGATACACCAAGGAATTGAAACTAACTTAAATGTGCATTTAAAGAGTTATCGACATCCCTTAAACTTCAAGAAAACACTATCAACTTCCCCAGGAAAAAAAAACACTTCTAATCCTCCCCGAGTACTTTACACAACAAGACATGTCAATCATGCACATATGATATGAACTCACGTCTACAATGCCCAAAAAAAGATCATAATTATTCTAAGCGAAACGCTTCAAAATTAGGCGTGCCACCTTATACGCCACCATATAAGGACACCTTGCCTTGGCAATTTCTATGATCTTATGACCGTTATGAAATGGCATGATTAAAGTACAAATATAAACACATCAAAATCAGACTAACTACCCTAAAGGGTAATCTATTCTTCCTCTGTCATTAATTGGAAAATTGGACGATAATATAGAAGCAACCTCGCAGTAATCCCCAAATGAAACGACAAGAACAAATATGAAATGAACAAAAGTAACAACATTCGTTACCGGTACGTGTGTTAATTAGCTGAGAATTGGAAAGATGCGAGTAATGTGTTCCAAAGGAATGCTGTCGGAGGATTTCTTCTTCAGTTCAGGATGGTTGAATTCGTTGGGTGGCATTACAATAAGTTGGCCCTTCCCATGACCTTTCTCAAGAATCCAACCAGAGTTTGCAACTTGGTGCTCAAGAAATTTGTCCAAAGATAAGCCCTCAATATTGATTGCCTGTAACATGCCGACGTAAAATTTAGAATATTAACACGGGATATTGAACATATAGTACTAGAAAGTATCAATTGAAGAAAAAACTTGAAAACGAGAAGAATTGGGGTGATGGGTAGGCATCCTCTAAAGCATGTCAGACAGGAAATAGACAATGCAAGGTTACTTGGAATAGGATTTATGGTATAGTTAACAGCAGAGAACAAAAATTATGACACCGATCATTAGGAGTGCAGCCACGGCAAGCCACATACAAGTGAACACTAATGAAAATTACAGCAATAATAGTTGAAGTACAAACTCCAAGTTTATTTCAACAGTAAAATGACAGACAAATTTTTTTATTTATTCATACCTCAGCAAGCACAGATCTAGGAACCTTTTGATAAGTTAAGGAAAGAACATGGACGGCATAAGCTTGAATAGCTTGCTCAAAACCTGCATCATATTTTCATATTAGGAACAGCCAAACAGAGGGTGGTCTATGTATAAAATGGGGTCTGCAAGTCAAAAATCATTTATTTTTTATATCAGCTGTGGCCCACTCCAACACTGCAGGGAGACTTTGTGCAACATAAAGCCAACTACTCTAGGAAACATAACAAGTGAGAAAAATATATTCACTTCTAAGGTTTACCACATGGAGGCTCGAACCAAGGCATCCCGGGAAACTTCCCTCCAAACTCCTCAATACGTCTTGAGATAATTTTTTCACTCGTGGTTATGAAACTATAAATATATCCTAAAGACTATCAAGATAGTACTGAAGACTGCAAACAAACAAGTTTCTGCTTAGTACCCAAGTACCTGGCACAGCTTCAACTATGTGGCGGTTCTTCGCAGCTTCATCCCAAAATTGACGGAACTTTCCAGTCTACACATGGACAAGATCAAAGTAGTCATAAATTTCGCACGAGAATGCTCTCAAAAAACTAAAATTTAAGGGCTAATGAAAAACGTAAAAAAAAAAAAACATGCATACCTCCAAATAGTGGGAAAGTATAATCAGAGTCTTGAATTGATCCTCCATTTGCTGTAACAACATATTTAAAAGGGGTCTTGAAGGGGCAAGATGGAAAAGAATAAGAAAATCATGAGCTAAAGTGTATACATGCTCGGTGGCAGTGTTTTTGTTCGGAATAAAATCAACTCTAAAATCTTTCCTTAGGATTACATCTTCTATTAGTCTCAAGACATTGACCTTGTAATAATAATTAAAAATTGAAGCCATTAAATTTGATGTGGTTTTACCCTAGTATAGGTTTCTAGCTCCTCCTAGGATAACGTTGTTCGGCATGCTTTCATTGATCTTAATGAAAGCTTAATTTTGTCTAAAAAAAAACTCATAAAAGAACAACGAAGTGTACACGGCACAATTCAATTTGTTGAGAAAATGAGCAACCTAATCGTTTCTTCTTACAGATCAATCAAATTTAAAAGGACATACACATCTTGAAATAAAACAACATTAATGAAACTTAAAGGTTGGTGAAGTACAAAAGAGTTAACACATACCACTCGTTCTGGAATTAAAAAGAGACACAGGCTGAAATCTGGAGCTGGAATTGCCATCAGAGCCTATTCACACCTCGCACAAAGCCCTCAAAATTAAAATTAATGAACAGGTAAATGAATTACATTCTTCACAATATGCAAAGAAATTTCAAAGAGAAACATACCTTGACCAGGATGCGAGCCACAATTTGCGTACTCATTCTTTCGGGCTCAAACTGTAAATCGAACAATAACGTATTGCTAGAAGATTAAACACGTGAATGAAAGAAAAACACAGGTTCAAAAAACAAAAGCTTCAAGGTCCACATCCAATGCATTATATAAGAAGTATTCGAATATCTATCTAAAGCATAAATAAAAAGTTTTCTGAAGGCACATTCAAACAGGGCCAAGAATATAAGAAACAACAAAAGTAAACAATTTACATCTAGTAAATAACAAGTACCTGGTAGAGGCGAAGCAGGCATAAATTAGCATCTAAACTGTAGGTTTCTGACGAGACCTGGAACACAAACGTTCAATCCAACAAGAATAAGACAATAGATTTCTCAATCCAAACGAACAATTATAAATTTAAAGACAATCGAGAAGAAGATAAAAAATTTACAAATCGAACTGAAAACAAAAGACAGAGATAGAAAGAAACCTGCTCATTTACGTAGTTTTCAAGATCAGGAAGGATATCAGGATTGTAAGGATTCACAGCGAGCAACTGCTCCACCGCAGACGCCATCTCTTGCTGTGGCTGCTTCTGCAATTCTCTTCCCATACCACCGGATTCCGTCGCCGATTAGGTATCCGGATAAGCTTTTCTTCGTTGAAGTATACACTTCCAACTTGTGCTGAGGTTCCCGCTCGAAACCCTCGATTGGGGACGTTGATGAATCCTCTATTTTAGGGTTTCGTCCAAAATGGTAATCTTTTTATTTATTTGTTTAATTTTTTTTATTTCACATTAAATTATACAAAATATCATTCTCACAAAAAATATTATTTACTTTTTAACTATTTTAAATATTATTATTATTATTTACAAAATTAAAAAAAAAAAAGTATAAATGTTTTAAATTTAGCAACCTAAAATCATTTAAAAATAAATAAATAAATAAAATATTGGTTCTGGCCCAAGATAAAAAGCCCAATATAGATGACGGCCCAGGCCCATTAAAGATAAAATGAAACACGTGCCATTTACACGTGCTATATGAATTTTATAAAATGTCCACAATATTTTTAAAACATATCTGATAATTATTGTAATTTACAGATTTTATAATTAAAAACTAATAATAAGAAAAAGATAATAAATGTGACACGATTATTCTTGGTTAGGTGTAATTATGAATTTAAGAATTTAATATGAATGATTAAAAAACATATTACCCATTCGTTTGTAATTGGAAAGTAATAATATTTTGGTATTTATTTTATTCGTAATATTGGGTATTTTTTGGTTAGTAAGGTTGGCAACATGCAATGAAAACGATTTTTTTTAATTTTTTTCATGCAGCCATACAGAAAAATAATAATAATAATAATAACTTTTCAGAGACAAAACGAACCGTTTTGTTGCAGTTGCATATTCTCTGACCCGACCAAACGCACCGTTTTTGGCAGTTTCTGCTTTGTTGGAAATACAAACAAATAATTATAAACAAAAGTATATATGGCATGGCCGTGTAAAAGCGACGTCGTTTTATGTTTTGGAGCTAAACAAATTTGGCGTTTATTGCTTTTTTTTTTTTTATTAAAAAAATTGTAGATTCAACCAATTTTAAATAACTTTATTCTTAATTTCTTTTTAAATTGTATTTATTAATATTATTATTATTTTATAACTATACGTTCGTAAGAGCATGTTTTATTACATAAGATACTAATTTATCATTCTAATCTACGGTTATTGAACGGAGTTACAAAATGCTAAAGGGAGAGGGATCAAAATGAAATTATTCCAGAGATTAAAGGAATAAGATATATAAATGTAAATGATACTATACCGTCAAGTTATTTAGAACGAGCTTGGTTAATTTGATTTTTGTTGTAATACTTGTAATGAATAACTCGATCTTATTGTCCATCGAGTAGGTCTTTGACTCTCCTGTTGTTCTCGTCCCCCGAGATGCGTCCTACGAGTAGACTAAGGGAGCTTCTCTTAGCACGGAATGGTGTCTTTTGAAAATTTTGATCCAACCAAAAGAAATAACACTTACAAGCTTGTCACGCTCCTCTGTATTTTAATTTAAGATTAATAATCTTAAAATTTCAATAAAAATACTTTATTAAAATATATATATATATATATAAAAGCGCCGCCGCCAAGGAAGCGGAAAAATGCAGCCCACAGCATTGAGACGAGGGGCATCCTAGGTAAATTAAACGTATTGCGGAAGAAAACTTTAGAATTAGTTAATATTGTTGATTTTTAATTATTATTTTTTTGAAAAGTGGCGTTTATTAAATATAACATAAAGTTTTTATAATTATAATTATCATATGTTATTACTTTGAATTAAATATATGCGACATCCACATTTTAAAATAAGGTGCCATCTCCTTTTCATTAAAAAATTAAAAAAGGTGTCAATTGAGATCTGCTTCCCTCAAACCGTAGGGCAGCCCGTGGGTTTTGGACCTACTCTCCAGCTAGTAATGCAGCTGAAAATAACTCTTATTATAATTTAATAAAAATATTCATTAAAATTTTTATTTTAAAAGTGTTTTTCTTTTCTTTTTAATTATGTTGTTAGATATTTATTTTTGAAGTATACGCTTTTCTAACGTGGTAAATATAATTCTTAAAAAATGTGAAATTATTAGTATTTGTACAGTTCTTTTTTCTTTTTTTTTTTTTTAATTAAAGTAGCATATAATAATATAATATATAGTTTTTAATATATTGACATTCTAACAATAGATTTATTTTTCTCTAGCTCAGATTTTCGTCCCATGCCCCCGCGTCTATTTTAAATTTAAATAAGGATTTTGTAACGGGTGACGCCACTAATTAATCACAAAAAAAAATAATTTTTTGTTGGAAAAATCTCGTTACAAAAAAAAATTGTAATAATTAATTTATATAATGAGTCAGATATCTGTTGGATAAAAGTCTTGAATAATTTAGAGAATGATAACGAATTTATAATAAAAAAAATAGTAAAATTGAGATTTATAAATAAAAAATAATAAGTTGGTAATTGCAAAATAATAACAACTCGCGGACGAATATTCATCCAATAATGGCAAGTTTAATTTAAAATCAATATATTTTTTAAGAAAAAAAAGTTGCAAAAGCTAAAATGACAGTGAAAGGCGGTTTTAGGTAGCCACGTGGTGGGCGGTTACAGGTTTTGAGGTTGACGAAGCTCGCGCCAAAAAAAAACACACAGTTTGACGAAAACACCCACCGAATATTATACTATTAAATTCCCCAAATCTTAAAATATAATTTAATAAAATTTTCAAAGGAGCAAAAAAAATAAATAAATAAATAAATAAAGCAATTTCTGCAAATCATCATTGCAAATTAAAAAATTATCTGTAAAATAAAATGATATCTAACCAACCAAAATTGTCGAATAATTTCAACATTATTATTGATCTTGATAGTGATTTTCAAGTCTTTTATTCTTAATTCTTCTATCTTTAAGATCTTCATTCGAAAGTGGTACCAATTCATTCATATACCTCTCGTTTACTCGAGTATCACGACACCGATTTAATTAAGTATAACTTTGGATGATCACATAGTGAGAGGAAGAAGACGCAATGGGAGTAGAGAAGAACAAAAGCGGTTTTGCGGAAGGTAGAAGAAAACCACAGGAAGCAAAATGGCAGTATTAATGGCATTTTCACGGAAATTCAAGGTCCCATTTCTTTACCCACCGCAAGCAACCATGGCGATCCAAAAGCTGCTGGATAAGAACTTCAAATCTTCAAAACCCTTCTTCCATTTCTTGTATAAAACCCCTCTCCTCCTCCATTTCTTCTCACCTCTCCACTTCTCATTCCTCTTTCTTGTTCTGAGGTTCATTCTTCCCTCTGATGATCTCTGAATGATCTAAACCAGTTTTGATTTCGTTTGATTCTTTTAGAATGTTATGTTTGATTAATTCTGCTGATGATTTCTGTAATTTTTTGGGTGTAAGAAATTAATGTTCTGTAGATTTGAATGAGATTGACAAGTGTCATCTTCGCCCTGATGATCTCTTTAATCTTTGTTTTTTCCCCATTTTGTGTCTATATATTACCACTTCCTCTGTCTGTATCCATATGCTTTTTTCTGCTTGTAAGCTCTGTTTTGTCTTTTTTTTTTTGTATCTTCTTCATGAATTTTCTGCTGTTCTTTATCTTCTGAACAAAACAATTCCTCCAGCTTCTTCAATGGAGGAGTATTCATACTGGCATTTGTTCTTCTCTTCTCTTTGTGCTCCCCCCTGCTGTATCTAAAGAACATGCAACTTTTTAAAACAGTGTCTGAGCTTCTATCGTTTCAGCTGCTTAAGATTACCAAATTCTCTGTTTTTCATGTTCATGCTTCATAGTTTGATGGAAATCACAGCTGAATCTATCCCCATATTTTAGAATTTTGTTAGAGTGTCTGGTAGGATCCGGATGGTGTGGGTTTAGGAATGTTTAATCAACCCAATTTGATTTGCAGGTGAAGTTTGATTTGAAGTAAATGGATTGTTCACATAATTTTATGTTTATTTGCAGCTGAAACAAACTATAATCTGAGATTTCTGTTAATACTCCAAGAAGGTAACCATGGCAGAACGAATCCTCAACCGTGTTCATAGCCTCCGCGAACGCTTGGATGAAACTCTCATCACTCAAAGAAATGAAATCCTGGCCCTCCTCTCAAGGTATATCTTATTTAGATCCTCTGTTTTTACTTTTTTGCTGGATCATTGTCTGGAAAGTGTTAACAATGGTAGCTAAAACTAGAAAAACAAGGCCATTGACAACAAATGACTTTGATTTGTGTGTAGGATTGAGGCCAAGGGTAAAGGCATCCTGCAGCATCATCAACTGATTGCTGAATTTGAAACTATTCCTGAAGAGAACCGAAAGAAACTAGCAGATGGGGCGTTTGGCGAAGTCCTGAGATCCACCCAGGTGATAAGAATCATCTCTTTTGGTTATTCATCTCTGCTATCTGCTCAAATTTGAAGTCATTTGTGGTGCAGGAAGCCATAGTTGTGCCCCCATGGGTTGCTCTTGCTGTTCGTCCAAGGCCAGGTGTGTGGGAATACATTAAAGTTAATATCCATGCACTGGTTGTTGAAGAGCTTCAAGTTGCTGAATATTTACATTTCAAAGAAGAACTTGTGAATGGAAGGTAAAAGTCTTTGAAAGTTTATGATCCTTCTAAGTTGCAATAAACTTGGTTGGGTTCTGATATCTTGAACTCTTTTTGGCCATTGTAATGCTAGTTCGAACGGCACCTTCACTCTCGAGCTTGATTTTGAACCATTTAATGCTTCCTTCCCTCGCCCGACTCTCTCCAAGTCCATTGGCAATGGCGTCGAGTTCCTCAACCGACACCTCTCTGCAAAGCTCTTCCATGGTAAAGAAAGCATGCAGCCATTGCTGGACTTCCTTAGAGTTCACTGCTACAAGGGAAAGGTACTCACGAACCCCTTTTGATTCAGCCTTAAACTTGTTCTAGTGTTTACTTGGGTGAGTTTTTTGGTTGCAGACATTGATGCTGAATGATAGAATTCAGACTCTGGATGCCTTCCAACATGTACTGAGGAAGGCAGAGGAGTATCTAGTTACGCTTGCACCCGAAACGCCCTACTCTGAGTTTGTACATAAGTTCCAGGAAATTGGCCTGGAGAGAGGGTGGGGTGACACAGCTGAGCGTGTACTCGAAATGATTCAACTTCTCTTGGATCTCCTTGAGGCACCCG